CCCCAAAACCCCAAAACCCCAAAACCCCAAAACCCCAAAACCCCTTTTTCAAAAAGAAGTACTGAAGAACTTAATTTGCTTTGAAGTTAGAAACTGAACCCGTTATCTTCACCCCACTTCTTCATTACATTAATAAAGAATTCAACTTGTGGGTTGCTTGTGTTTCTAAGCATGCTGATAACTTCTATCAGCTTCTCCCTAGTCTCTTGCCCAGCAACTACAAGCTGGAAGAGGCCGATAGCTGCTCCTCTCTTGCCATCCCAAAATTCAGGATCGGGGTCAAGTCTCTCAAGGACATCAAATGCTTTCACTGAGTAGTAAAACTGTCCCATCTTATAGCAATCGTTAGCAATGAGATTCAGTAATGACAAACTTTCGTTCGAAGTCTCCATATTGATATAAATCTCCCAGGCCAAGTGTGGCTTTCCATTCATGATATAACATCTACTTAGCCAAGACAGATAGGTATAGTCTTCCCTATATTTTTGGACTTGAATCAGTGCTTCCTCTGCCGTTTTATATTCTCCTGCAGAAGCAGAGGCAATGCCAAAGTTCCAGTTGAAGTCATCATCATTCAAGAAATATGACTTGATAGATTTGAGGTACACCAACACATCATCAAATTGCTTTAACAAAAAGAAACAAGAAGCCATGCATTGTCTTCCAGGAATGGTGTCACATTCTGTTGCTGAACCACCAACGAGCTGGAAGAGTTTCTGGGCAATGCCCAGATGCTCTTTGTTCTCCTCTCCTTGCCCAATAACAGCATGGACAACAGCTTTAATGATATATTCCTTTGGCACAACCGGCTCCATATCTTTGACTAATTTAAAGGCTTCGTTTACTTCATCATTCTTTAGATGATAGATGACTAAATTTAGCCTTGCTTCTTGAATAATATCCACAAGTGGGGGTAAGACCTGCAGTGCGTTCTCCCCACCTCTAAAGACTACGAGGTTATGTCTAAGAAGATCACTATCTTGGAAGATATCTCCACTAGTTGAGCTGTTTTGAAGAACTTTCAGCTCAGCCTCAGCTGCTTTCCCATTGTAAAGTTGGTAATGATTACAAGCTTTGAGGTTAACTCCCATAATAGAGTTTGGATTAATTCCCAAATAGACAGCCAGGATCTCTAGTGAGACATCATAATAATCCAGCTTGTAGTAACATAAGGCCACATAGGCATTTAAAGCATGGAAATCACGATTATTTAAAAGTAATTTCTTATAAATCTCAGTTGCTTCTTCATAATGGTTCCTTAAGTAATGCAACGCTGCAATACAGAGCTCATCTCTCACACTGCTAGTGAGCTGTTGGTGATAGTTCATGATCTGGGTCTCTTCACCAAGCTTATGAGAGAGTTGGAACATTAACCTGATGAAAAGTCCTCCATCCACATTATCGCCTGCTTTCTCTCACTCTTTCTTGGCTTCCTTGTATTTTCATTCAGCATAGAGGCAGCAGGCTTTATAAAGATGGAAGTTTTTATCATAATCGTGACCTCTCATCAATTCATCATAAGTATCAATTGCTTTCTTATAATCTCCATTATGGAAGCAAGCGTAGGCAAGGCTGAGCAATGTCTTCAGATCATGCTTCTTAGAGTACTTTCTTTCGCAATCCAACAAAGTAATAGCGCCAATATAATCTCTATCCTGAAGGTAATCCTTGGCTTCAGGCATCTTAATCTCCTTAGACTTAGGCTGCGGAGCAGAGGTCTTTGCCTGCTGTTGCTTTCTTTTTACGGCAGAACCTGGACGGATCATCTTTGATTTTTCAAATTTAAATAATATATATAAAATCCATCCCTAATCGAGCAGATGGGGTTTTGGGGTTTTGGGGTTTTGGGGTTTTGGGG